GAGATATACATTCTCCTCTCGATGTGGAGGAGCAGCGGGTCTACTCCGAGCCCCTCCTCGATGACCGAGCTTCTCACCCTATCTCGAAGGGAGAGTCCAGTCACCCTGTGGAGAAAACTCACTTCAGTCCCTTGTGTTTGTGATCTCGTTCCTTTGGTCACTACCCAGAGCTTGCAACCATAGATGAGGGTGGAAACGTAGATCTACTGGTAAATTGATTTGTTTTAAAATTCCTCTCAGCGTTTAAGTTCTTATGCACCTTCGTATTTTTCGGCACTTCTCAAGCCCTATGATCCATCAAGATGGCTAAGGTCTGCTGACCAGCAGCTCCTGGCTGTTACGAGGTCACTGTAGAAGCTTAGGGGGGGTCGGGCTTTTGTTGTATCTGTGCCTAAACTGGATCCAGCTGCCTCCTTCCATTAGACGGCCACCTCTGTGGCGTTTCAGACCCTTCTCATCACCCACTGTTCCTCATTGGCTTTCGCTTCTGCGTGATCATTGTTGTGCTTTGGTGTTTTCGTGTTTATATGTGTGACCTAGCTCTAATGTTTGTTTGTTTTTCTCTTGTGATTTTATTGTTTATTGATTTCTCTTCTTAGCATTTTTAGCCCAGTTGCATTTTATTTGTTGTGTGTTATTGTTCAGCACTTTGGTTGATTTTAGTGTATAAAGTGCTCCATTAATAAACCTGGATTGGATTGGAAGACCATGGTCTCAGATGAAGCCATTTCATAATCAGACCAGCACTTTCCTTCACTCCTCTGAGACGCTCTGAGTAATACCACGAAGAAAACGGATGCATTAAAACACCTTTTATCTAAAACAAACCCTGCAGAATTAAGACATGCACATTTATGCTGCTTTAATCATAATGTTCACGTCATGCTTTGTAGCTTTTAGACACAGAAGGTGATTTTTAGGCTTGTCTGTAACATGCTGTAGGGTTTAACTCATTACATCCACCGGCTCCAGGGGATCTTCCAAACGTTGGTTTGTGGAGAAGGGGCTGGTGACCAGCTTGGGAGTGAAGATTGATGCGGCCATTTTGCTTGACGAGCAAATAAACACAACTGTTCAGACGTGCTTCTTCCACTTGTGCCGCTTGTCCAGGATCAAGTTAATGTTCTGAGGATGCAGCTGGAGTCGGCAGTCTGTGCTTTTATCACATCGACGTTAACCCTAACCCTCTGTACTGACAGGGGCCAGAAAAGCTTCCTGGTTCAATGGGGAGGGATCACATCACCCCTGTGTTAGCTCCCTAACAAGCTAGGCTCAAGACACATTTTTATTCTCTAGCTTCACATTAGGCATGGCTGTCTCATATTTATGATAAGTCTTGTTTTTATGTGTTTCACCGTGTCTGTAATGTGTTTTTATCTGAAGTTAGCTGGAAAGTTCCATATAAATGATGATGATGTATGATAACAAACATCTGATGACTCCGTATGAAGTCACTCACCCTGCTCCTAACGCTCACACCTCCCTCACTTCTCCGTCTTGAGTGGACTGTTGTTGCTGAATTTGAGGTTTTAGCTCATTTGTCTGTGTGGTACTGGTTTCCTGCCCCCACTGCTCTCAGATTGAACTCTGCTTGTTAACAACCAGCTCAGAGTCTAGAGCTGAACTTGAGGGAAGCTGCAGGAACGTTGAAGCATGATCAGAGGAAGCAGTTTAGGTGGAGATCAGGATGAGCATCGGCCTCGTGGAGGGTGTGAGCGCTCTTGGTTGTGTCCACTCCATCGTGGTTATCATGGCTGCATGATGTCACCAGCTGCCTGACCTCATAAAACCTATAAAACACATACACACACCCACACCCACACACACACACACACACACACACACACACACACACACACACACACACACACACACACACACACACACACACACACACACACACACACACACACACACACACACACACACACACACACACACACATTTGCTATGCTTCTGATGCCCCAGGCTGGAGGCAGTTTCAGACACCTTCCTCTCAGCTCATCCCCAGGAGTGTTAGGAAGTCGTATCTATCGTAGCCTCAGCTTAGACTACTGTAACTCTCTTTTCACGTGTCTGAGCAGAACCTCCCTGAACCGTCTACAGGTGGTTCAGAATGCCTGTGCTCGGCTTCTGACCAAGTCCTCCAAACACACCCACATCACCCCGCTTCTCCTCCAGCTTCACTGGCTGCCAGTCAACTTCAGGGTTCATTTCAAGATCCTGGTTCTGGTCTATAGGGCCTTACATGGACAAGCACCATCTTACATTGGCGATCTTCTTAGTCCCTACACCCCCAGCAGGTCCCTGAGGTCCAGTGATCAAAGCCTACTGGTTGTACAGCACCAAGCTAAAGACCAAAGGTGACAGATCATTTGCTGCTGTGTCCCCCAGACTCTGGAACTCTCTCCCCCTGAGCCTGAGATCAGTGGACTCAGTGGTCTCCTTTAAAAAGCAGCTGAAGACTCACTTGTTCAAGCTTGCTTTTGTATGAACTTCTTCACCACTCTCTCTTTATTCTGCTCTCCCCACCTATTCCACCTTCCTCAGGATCCACTGATTTCCCTCTTTCCTATTCACTCTCTATCTTTCTTAACATTTTTTTAATCACAATTGCCTATTTTTGCTCCTTTTAAATACATTTTTAACCATTTTCTAAATTGTTTTTTTATATTTTTACATTTTTTTTGTGAAGCGCCTCGTGATTTTTATCTTGAGAGGCGCTATAGAAATGATTTCTTCTTCTTCTTCTTCTTCTTCTTCTTCTTCTTCTTCTTCTTCTTCTTCTTCTTCTTCTTCTTCTTCTTCTTCTTCTTCTTCTTCTTCTTCTTCAGCAGGTCTACGGAGCAGTTTTTTGTCCTGCCAATCATTGCACTGTTGTTTGGGTGGGCTTATCACCAGAGTTGTGATGGAGAAAAACTACAAACATGGCCTCAGCTCAGGAATGTTTTTAGTGGCTTTGACAGCATTTCTGAACAAATTAGACGTTTGCTTTTGTTTGAGTCGTGAGCAGTTAGAGATCCTTGAGTCATTTGTTTAGAAAAACATTTTTTTCAACGTGATGGACTGACGCGTGGACCGTTTCCTATGATGATGATTACGTTTCCCTGTTTGTCGCTCTGATTGGCCCTGGTGCTGTCCAGCTGCATGCAAACAGCACTATAATCCCCCCATGATGCTGTGTGTGTCAGGGCCAGACTTACAACTTCACATGCTATATTTACATAACAGTCTACGTGTTCAGTTCTGTGGTCCGTCTGTGTTTTACACACTGGAGATAACAGGGTCGTAATGAGTGCTGTTGTTTTATTCAGTATTTTATCATTTCATGGTGTTTTTGTGCTTGTGGAAGACACATGAAGGTCTATTTGATTCTAGTCTAAGCTCTCCTGCAAATTCAGTCTCATATTTCAAAACAAGGTTTTGGAAGTGTTTTTGTTTTTGGTTGGCTCTTTAACCTCCCGAGATGCTGTGTCTTTATATGAGCACATTGGCTAATTACACTACAAAATGCCTTCATCTTAGACCTTTATTATTATTTAGACACTTGATACTGACTTGAAGATTTTTTTCTCATTCTTTTATTAGGCAATGTTACATTTAACATTTTTGTTTCATTTTACTCTCATCTAAGTAATATTTTGTTCACGTTTGTGACGATCGACTAATCTGTAATAGCTAGAATTGTTTGTTTTTTTTTCTTTTAAATCACATCAAATACAAATTTGAGTCTCGGGGGGTTAAAAAACCTGCTGGTAATGAAAATCTTAACGTGAGGTTTGAATTGTCCCGTGAGGAGCTGCAGTGGCAGGCTTTTGGGAGTTGAGCATCAGTGAAAATAAATGAGCGTTGCAGCCGAGTCTGGACCACCTGCTTTCGTCTGAGCTGTTGATATGTTTCTGTCTGGAAATCCAGACCTCGTGAACATGTGCTGTACATGTTATTGACGAGCGCTCTGGCCTGCTTAATATCCTCCTGAAACGTACTGAAGTAATGCTCATGCTTCGGCTGCAGGAGTGAAGCCCAGTGCCGTGCTGATGTGACTTACGGTGCATGTTTTAATAAGCCCAGCTCATCCCGTTTTAAGACTTTGCACTCAGAGAATGGCTGAAACTGGTGAAAGTGGTGGCATAAATCAGCCGTAGCGATCTCACCTCTGCTTTGATTATCTAGCACGAAGCGGCTTCCTGGTGGCTTTAATGCTGCCTCTGTTCTGCAGAGCTCCACAAGCTTCTGATACTCATTTTGTGCTGCTGCTCAGTGTTGTCCTCGTGTTGCCAAAAGCAAGCTGAATGATTTTTCCTGTCTGACTGTGTTGAACTATCCTCCAGAGCCTGGAGCACCTCCGTCAAAGATCCATCTTTTTGGTTCCTTTTTGTGCTTATTGATTTGATGTGTCACCTGCCCGGGATCGGTTATGGCGGCGCGGGCTATCAGTCATTATGAGGAGCGGTTGTTTGTCTCTGCTTCAGCCTCCATCTTTCATGTTCTGCTTCTGTGTTTATGTCCTCCGGCGCTGTCTGGTGCACACTGGAAGTCAGTGAGGGGTAGAAAAGGAGAAGAAGAATGACATTTCACAGTGGTACTTGGACGTCTTTGTTTTTTGCTCTGCAGGGAGAAAAGTACAATATTATGGCCCCCTCTCCTTATTACGCCCCGGGCTGCCTCAGTGGTCATTTCTCCTCTGCCTCTCATGAAGCTGTTAGAACAGATATGCTCATATTTCTGCGCCATGCCAGGATTTCTACATTCCCATCACTTTACATCAAACAGTGGACTCAGGGAGGAGGAGATACGGCCGCTGCTTCGGCTCCGTCAGCACTCTGTTGTTGTTTGGCTGCTGAGGATTTAGATTTCCTTGCTGCTGATGTTTAGAGGACTCAGCTGATAGACATGCATCTCTGCTGCTGGGTGAAACTATCCCTGCCCACATTAGATCTCAGAGGATGCTCTGTAATTTGTTCCATATCAAGCATGCTCTCTCCTCCCTGTTCTTGCAGAGGTTTGTCGGGAATGTCAATTCAGAGACCGTGGTCCAGAACAAGCTGTCCCACCCGCTGAAGACTCGTTTCCTGCGCTTCGTCCCTCTCGACTGGAACCCCAGCGGGTGGATGGGTCTGAGAGTGGAGGTGTTCGGATGCTCCTACAGTGAGTAACACACACTCTGCAGTTCATGCTGCACTTTGAAAGCACTCAGCCTTCTGTGGTTCCACCTCCTGCATGGATTCCTACATTTATTCACGTGCACTGCTGCTTTGCTCTTGGTGGAGAGTAATGAGGACCATTTTCCCTTCACTCCGCTTTAACACACTGTTTGATTTTCCAGGAAGCTGCAAAATGGAAAAGAAAATCAAAAGCCAGCAGAAAGGCTGTGAATCATAGGAACACACCCCACCTCCAAGAACTTCGGGGAAACTTTGAAACATCTCTGATTCTGATTCGTTTTAATTTATACTCATCACGAATAGATAACGGATACTCCAAATGTGAATTACCCATCCATCTGTCAGTGCTTGGTTTAAAGAATCAAAAGCCTAAAACGAGCCATTTCAAAAAGTTCCCGTTTGTGATGTCAGAAACGGGGAAATTTGATTAGAACCACCTCTCATGTGGAGCAGCGGCTCTTCTCCAAGCCCCTCCCGCACATTGTTGTTTCTCAACTTAAAGCAGCTTAGTGGGGGTAGGGGGGCGTGGCCAGCTCCAGCTTGTTTTCTTAAAGTGACAGTGCCCTGAAGTGACTCATTCTGGAAGGTACTGAAACTGTCAGGACTAAAACTGTTGAGACTGTTTTATGTGAGAGAACTCTATAGACATGTTTGGAGCGTAGAACTGTTATACACATGAGGAAAACATCAATATCTTCTTTAAAAGGCATTTTAATCGACTGCTATAAGTTTAATTTTTACGTTAAAATATTCAACAACTTTGATGAAATGAAATGTATTTCTTGTTTATTGGGTCATCACTTTTTTCTAAGCATTTTCAAACACTTCAAATGAAAACCAAATTAATATTTAAGCAAAGTTAAAAACATTTGTTCCACGTTGAGGCTTTAATCAAATGTCTGTCCTCTCAGCCCCGACAGCGGCGGCCACTGAGATCGTGAGACTGTAACTTTACCTGTTTACACTTTAGGGCCAAGTCTTTACAGACGTGGACTTTAGCTGGATCTTTTCTACCGAGTAAAGAAAACCCACAATGGTCATTAAACAGCAAAAGTACTCAAAATAAAAACATATTCAGTCAGACACATTATTAAACATTTTAGTTCAAAGAACTATTTAATAAAACCAAATGACTGAAACAAGACTGGACCACAGTGATTAGTCTAAACCTCATCGGGGTCATGTCAGGTCAGTCCTTCTCTGACGGACCATCCTAGGAAGGAGGGCAGCTCTGCTCGTTTTTCATTCTATCTAAGGAACTAGATTCTTCATTATTACCCTCTTTTTATCAAAACTAGTAGCTGGAGTCATGGCTCCTGCTGCAGACCTGGCCGCCATCACTAACCTGAGGCCCCTGATGGTTGGTTAACTGACTCCACATCTGTAGGCTGAAGATTTGCAGCTTCAGTAAAAGAAGAGAGCTGTGAGCTACACGCTTTGTTTTGTTTATGTTTGAGCTTCTTGTAAACATTTCCAAAGTCGGACCTATAAAACAAGATGGCTGCATGCTGTTGTGGTTTCACAACAAGAAGGTTGTGGGTTTGAATCTTTGAGAGAGGACTCCCAGTGAGAAAACACATTAGGCACATAGGAGACCTTAGCAATGAATGTGAGAGTGTGGTGGTCGTTTGTGCCATTTAATGCCAGGTCCTACCTCACCCCTGCCTCACCCGTGACCCAAAACAGCAGGTTCACTCAACTGGTGAATAAGAGTTTGTACCTTTGTGAAAACCAAGAAGCTGTGTGTTTGTTTGAGGTGGCAAGAACAAGCAGAAAGGAAATGTCGTGCTTTACATGGAGCACAACTCCTGAGAAGTCTTCATGTCACACAATAAACGTTGAACACCTCACCAGAAAAGTGGTTGGCCCAAATGATGTTATGATGAGAACAAGCTACAGAAATTCCACACACCGTTCTTTTTGGCAGCCCTGAAAGAGAGCAGGCTTTTCCCGGTTCTTCTAGAATCTGCAAAGGCTTTAGGGTTCTTCAAAGGTGTCTTTCCAGGCTTGGATAATTCACCACTGGTTGAGGAAAGGAAGTGTGTGTCTCACTGGGATGTAGCATCAGAACGTTAATCATCGTGTCAGCTTGGGTGTTTGGACTTTGGTTTTGTTACCATCTCTAATGATCTTTTATAGTGTGGATGAGTTTCAGATGGCGATAATCAAACTACAACTGGAGGCTCCACACACGCTGGTCACCCTCGGTTGGCTGATGAATGTCATTTGAAACTGTTACACACACCAGAGGAGCCTCACAGGAAGGAGAAGCATTCACAGTACAGCAGAGGCAACGCACCGCGCCTGGCAGCAAATATGCAAATTGGTGCTTTTC